TTTACGGAGGAAACGAGCCAGGTTCAGAGTTGTAAGATAGAACAACATTTTCTATTGCCATCTTTTAAAGTCAGTTCCTGAGAACTTCTCTGGCTTCTCTCCATGATTTATTGGTACTGTCATCACAGGATAGGGGGTTGGTGCAATTGCAGCCACCACAGTAGTACTTGTTTGTGCATTAGTTTCAGTAGCCATCAATTCTAAATTATAACACAAAATTATAATTAGAATTTATACTACACAGAAAATTAAATCAAATTCACATAATTAAATTCTGTAAAAAATAAAAGAAACAAGAATGTAACTTTTATTTTCCAATTAATTTGGAAATAAAATAAAATTTTATTCAACAAAATTAACTCCACACAAGAAATTAAATTCTGTAAAATAAAAGAAATAAGAATATAACTTTTATTTTTCAATTAATTTGGAAATAAAATAAAATTTTATTCAACCAAATTAATTCCACACAGGAAATTAAATTCTGTAAAATAAAAGAAATAAGAATATAACTTTTATTTTTTCAATTAATTTGAAAATAAAATAAAATTTTATTCAACCAAATTAATTCTACATAGAAAATTAATTTCTGTTGCACTTCAATAATTAAAATACTAAAACAGAATTTTAAGTAATGAAACTTAGAAAATAATTTCTAAAACCCAAAATTAATTTCTAAAAAAATTTCACAAAAATATATTCTGAATTGTTAGTGACACCAGTATCGTAATGTTAGTTGTTGTCAAAGAAAAGAGACAGGATATTACTACTGTCTGTCAAATAGTATATAATCATTATTTGTTTTTCCAACCAGAATATTATTTTGTAAATTCACAGAAAATAATTTTTTTCCGAAATTATTTACGAAGAATGAAAAAGGAAAACAAACGAAAATTCTGTAAACAGAATAATAAAATTATGTCTTAAGATTGTTGGAACAATCTTCTGTGTAAATAAAATAACTTGAAATAAATTCAAACAAAATAAATAAATAACATATCGGATTTATTTATCGAACCGAATTAAAATTAAGACCAAGTCGAGTGTATGACACTCTGTCCTTAAGACAGATTTGTCCCGCTACGGTGCTTATGGTTGAGTGGCGTCTATCTCCCAAGATACAATGATCTTCACAAATTTATAGAAGCACTTCAAATAAATTTATTCGACGAATTAAAACCTGTGTTCTATACTCTCTTTGAAATTTTCCTAAAACTAGAATGAAGGAAAATCCCCTAAATAAAAGTTGGACAGCAATATAAATAATGCAGACTAAATCTCGGGGGTCCTTGACTGTTGGAATAAAGGCTATATATATAGGCAAAAATGTCAGCCCGAATAGGTTCCAAAACAAAAATGAAAAGGTGCTACCACTATTCAAACATTTCTTTGACCGTCGCTAAGAACCAACTTTCAAACAATTTTGAATAAGGATATGTTGGTGAACAGTTTCTAAACTGTTGGACCTTTATCATTTAAACCATTTGACCTTTATTATTTAAATCATTGAAACACACATATATATATATATATATATATAGTGACAAGTTTAATTCTTTGTAGAAATGTTTTTTATTTTTATTTTTATGGTAGTTATGATGATAACTTAATCTGTTGGCTATTAATGTAATGAAGTGATCTAAACAAAGTGTTTTGTTGTCGGCCACGGAAATTAGAGACAAGTCACTGTAACTGAATGAATAGAAATTTTTATTGAAAAAATTCAAATGAATTTTATCTAAAAAATTAATATTAGACCCGAAAACGACGTCAACTTCCCATTCACTCATAAATGGTTTTGACGTCCCGTCTTCACCGCGTGACTTGCCACGCAGCAAAGAATACGTCACCTCTTCGGATCCACCCCAAAAGATATTTGGAGCCCACTCAAATTAGGCTAAAAAATATGCCTAAATTAAACTATTTTTCCAACAGTTATCCCATCATTATCATCACAACATAAGAAGATGAGCAAAATCAATTAAGGGGTCCTTTTAGTTCATACTATTGTATTCAATAAGTCACTTCAATATTACTTAATTCTTCTTCTAATTTTAGTTGTGTTTATAGTATATGGTCTTTCACATTTGAAAAATCTAAAAATCTCCTTAGTTATTGATTTGTGATTATGTAACATTTATTTTTATTTTTTTATAAAAAAAAGTTCCCCTATATTTGATTGTACGCACTCACACACAAACCCCCCCCAAAAAAAAAAAAAATCTAAATGCCACTTGAAGATTTTTAAATTTCAACAAATATGTATCAAGTTTTCAACTTCCGATGCTGATATGCACCGATAATCATTTGATATTATCCAATTAATATCAAATGATATATAACCATTTTATAAATCCATATTTTACATGATGGTATATTGTTTATTCATCCTTCTCTTTTTCTTTGTAGCCTTGAGGCATTAATTTCCGGATTGTGGTAGTTCAACTTCAAAATTTGTACCTATTACAAAATAATGCTTGTCCAATTGTCATTCTGCATGTATCACAAATTTTATTTATTTATTTATTTTTGCACTCAATAGGATGTGTGTTCGATGCTTCTTCATAATCGTGATTTGCCAAATTCTTTTCAGAAGTGGTTTTGATAATTAATTACATGTAACTGTATTAATTCGGTCATTAATTACTAAAAATGCAATTAATGTTCTTTTTGGGAAGCCATCCTGTACGGGGAGGAAATAATTCTCCTCGTATAATCCTGTTGACCAAGTCCACGCTCCTCCGTACGACGTCGCTTTATTACCTGAAAACACAAATGTAAGCTAGCCGGCGGGTGTGTGCCGGAAACCTCTCCGATGCCTAAGTCAGTAAGCTTGACAAATAGACAAAGTTTTATGCTCTCAGAAAGAATTGAGTTCAATTACCTCCTTCAAGGTGATGCTTGTGGGCTTTTATAAGTTTTCCGTGGCACAATCCTAGTAGGACTTGTACTTCTCCATGCAGAGTCCTCCTAGGATTCGTTCTCCTAAGGATAATGCTTATCCTTTTACACCCTCCCCCACTGCTTAAACCAAGTGGGATGGTTTTCTCAATAGCCGAATTACTATTTTGACCGAAGTAACATTAGCTATGCCGAGCCTCAGATTAGGCCGACCTATCCTTAGTTCGGTTTTGCTCGCTACACCATATCTCGATTCTCCTCTGCTCAACCCATGGTGTGTTTGGACCGAAACAACGACTCTCGACCGGTATAACTCCAAGACCGGTACACCTCTAAAGCCGATGTAGACTTCAAGACCGGTCTAACTCCAAGCTGTTCCAGGACCGAAGTACATTTACAACCTCTCAACCGAAGTAACCTCATCTCTTTTGACCGTAGTAAGTCAACATCTCCTCAGAACCGGAACAAATCTATCATCTTTGAACCGGAGTAACTTTATCATTTGTGAGCCGAAGTAATTTCACCTCCGTGGGCCGGAATAACTTTGTCTCCCCAAGGCCGGAAGCCAACTGTTACGCCGCCCTGCAGAAATTTTGTACAATTCCCGCCTCTTTTTGCCGCCTTTTTCTCTCCCTTCTTTCACAAAACAACCTTTCTACTTCTTGAATCACTTACTCTACTGTTTTCATCTTCTTTCTGTGCCTCTACTCCTTCCATACTCAAGCTTGTGTTCTTTACTTGCTGCCACCATTTCCGACTCCAGTCTTCTTTCTCTCTTCTCTGGTAAGAAAATCTAACCATCTTGCTTTCTTTGTTTTTCGTACTTTACTTTCCATGCTTTGTATGTTTTTTGCAAACATTTTGTCCATTTCTGGTTCGTTTCTGTACTTTTATGAAAAAACCAGTAGAACTCCATGCGTTTATGAACTATTATGTAGAAAACCACTCTTAGATCCAAAATCACATAGCAACCGAACTAGGATCCTGTTTGCCCCCAAATAGATAGATCTTTGTAGTCAATAACCGAACTCGCTTTAGCCGAAATAAGATCACCAAGTTTTGAATATAACAAACTAGGAACCTCGGTGGTCAACCGAACTAAGCTTTTGGGGCCAAGTCGGCTCTCTTGGTTCCTAAACCGAACTCAGAAAGCCGCCCCCAGAGGCTTAACCGAAGTAGCTCTATTCATATTGCAGCCGATTTAGGCCTTGGGGCTAAACCAGCTCTCTTAGTCTTTTAGACCGAACTCAGAAAGCTGCCCCTAGACGTTAAACCGGTCTACCGAGAGGCCGAAGTAGGGCTCTTATACCTTGCTTTTAAATTGTAGCACGGTCCATTGATCAGTGCTTTAACCCCCTCTGCTTTTTACTTTGCAGACTTAGGTTACCCAGGCACTCCTGCGTGCGCTCAACCGAGCTACTGAGCACGATTTTTGCACCGAAATAACTTATCCGTAAATTATACAACAAATGGGTAAGTATAGGTATTTAGTTGAGACCCCTGGTGGGATGGCCGAATTCAGGAAGGACTATAACATACCGGATGACGTCCATTTGACTTTGGCCGAAAAAGACATCACACCCTGGGATAACGAAGGCTTCGTCCCCTTTACTCTTCAATCCATAATAGAAACCGGACTACGGTTTCCCGTACAACCGTTGATTTGTGAGTTCCTTAGGCAAACTAGGTTATGCCCCACCCAACTGTCCACCAATACATACCGTATTATTATGGGAATAGCCGCACTAAACCGCCAAACCGGTTTAAACCTCGGCCTTGCCGAAATATTCCATCAATATTCCATCGGCTCGAAAGATGCTGGGTGGGTCTACTACCTTAGGATCCGCCGCCGCTGAGAGAAGATTGTTAAGCACACACCGGACAAAGACCTTAATGATGATGACTTCTTCTGGGTCTCTGGGAATTTTGAGGATTTTCAAGCCCAAATTCCTGGCCGACCTATAAATTGGAAGAAGGGAGAGCCTGGTAATCTGACTTCGGTCTTCTTCCTTGTATTTTATTTCGGTTTTTGTTAGTTTATTAGCCGAACTAACACTTCTCTTTTTTGCAGATTTCGCCCACCTTCATTCCTTATATAGCTATCCCAACCTTGCGGTTTTGCGAGCCGCACTACGGATTAAAGAACGAGGTTGGGCCAAGCTTCTAAATTTTGAACCGACCTACCGATATAGTGGTCGCCGAAAAGCAAGAGTGACCGATTTCCTACTTGAGGAAGAACCAGAACCGGACCCAACTTTGCCCGAAATAAGACTTGTTTCATTAACTGCTGAGGAAGAAATGGCAAAGAAGAGCAGAGTCAGGGCCCTTCTAACTTCAACAACTAGAGCCGAAGTACAGCCATCCGTCGAGGCGCAGCCTGCCGTTGTGGCCCTCCCTTCTCAGCAGCTTTCTTCATCTCGCCCTTCCAAACGCGCCCGACCTACATCGATCGAACAGCAACTTGTCGATGAGGTTGAATCCATCCCCCAGAGTCCTCAACCTTCCCCTCAACCGGAGCAAACAGACCGAGCTGAATCTCCAAAGTGGGCTCCGCCGCTGACCTTCAACGACCGAGACATCAAAGCTACTGACTCGATCGTGGCTGAAAAAGACCACCAATTGGCCTTTAACCTGGCCAAAAGTGTGTGCCTCCCCAAGGACATGGAGCACCACTTGAAGCAACTGAACACCGAAATGAAGTCAATTCGGTCTGCTTCCAAGTCCATGATCTTGGTAAGTAGCTCTGTCTGTTCTTTCTGTCTAAATTTTTCAAACTTTTACTTCGGCTGAAAAGAAATCTTTGTTTTGTCAGGCCTTGCAGAAGAACAACATCACTTATAAGAAAGTCCAAGAACTCCGCAAAAACACAAGGCAGGCGATGGCGGAAGCCGAAGCAAAGGCGGCCGAACTAGTGGAGGTCGAAAGGAAAATGACCGAGCTTCAAGCAGAGAACGGTCGGCTTGCCGATCTTGTTAGCTCGGCTGAAGCGGAGAAGCAGAAGGCAACCATCGTTATGAAGGACAAGTATCTGCGGGAGTTGTTGAAGCTTGAGAAGAGAAAAGACGCCGAAATAAGCAAACTAAAAGAGAGCGTGGGGGCGGCCGAAAAGGAGGGGTACAAGCGAGGTTACAAGGAGGCAGAAGATGCCTATGTCAAGCAATGCGACGCCGCCAAGGAGCTTTTCTTTAAGTGCGGCTGGAGAGCGGCTGTGGAGAAGCTCGGTCATGATGAACAGACCGAGGTCTTCGACCCTCCAGCATACTTTATACCGAAATCCCTTGCGGCGTATGCAGACGCCTTGCAACAAGAGTTTCTGGAGGACTCAGACACTGATGACTCCTCTGCTCCTGAAGACATTCCGGTTGTTGGTGCAAGCCCGTCACTTCGGTTGGAGCCCATGGTAGAGGACCCTCCTATTGAACAACCAAGTGACACCGTGGTTCCAACCGAAACTAACCCGGCGACCGAGCATGATCTTCCCCTTGAAACCGGTTTTCAAGTTGATGGTGATGCGGCCTTTGACGCTGAAATACAAGAACTCTTTTCTTGACTTTGTACTTTTTCTTTTTTTGTTTCGTCTTTGTAACCGAACTATGCCCCATTGTATTGACTTTTGTTTTGAATGAAAATTTTACGCAACTCTTACTCCGGTTTTGATTTGTATGTCTGCACTTTGTAATGTCTTCTATTACTCCAACTTCTATTTCGGTTTTGGCTTTTTAATCTATGCTTACCAGCCAACCACTCCTTAGCCGATATACTTACTTCGGCTAGGGAGTACAAAGTGTTGGTTAATTCCAGCCAACCACTCTTCAGCCTTGCACTTACTTCGGCTGAAGAGTAACAAGAGTTGGTTTATTCCAGCCAACCACTCTTCAGCCTTGCACTTACTTCGACTGAAGAGTAACAGGAGTTGGTTTATTCCAGCCAACCACTCTTCAGCCTTGCACTTACTTCGGCTAAAGAGTAACAGGAGTTTGTTTATTCCAGCCAACCACTCTTCAGCCATGCACTTACTTCGGCTGAAGAGTAACAAGAGTTGGTTTATTCCAGCCAACCACTCTTCAGCCTTGCACTTACTTCGGCTGAAGAGTAACAAGAGTTGGTTTATTCCAGCCAACCATCGAAGTTAGTTTTTCCAGCTAACTTATAGTATTTGGTTATTCCGACCAAATGTCCTGCAGCCTGGATCCTTATCCTGGGCTTAGGAAGGGTGTTGGTTTATTCCAACCAACCTCTGAGTTAGTTTTTCCGGCTAACTTAGAATGAAAAAATGCTTGCAATGCGCCTAATTTTTACTAAAGCTAATTTTTACAAGGAACAACTTGTGCTAAAAAGAA